TTGGATTTGAGACTTTAGTCTTTGCAACTTCAGGGATCTTATCTATTCATGATGATTCGTAAATGCACGTTTTTTTTAATGCAAAAACACAACTTACTTTATAACAAAAATGCATGAAACAAATATTCGCATAAGTAATAATTGCACGAAGAAATTAAAATAGAGAAAATTGAAAAAATATTGTAATTTTTAAAAAGTAAAATAAATAAACAATATGAATAAAATAACTACATAATATAATAAATATTTTTATTAGTACAAATAAAAATAAATGACAAACCAGACAGAAAACTCCACCCAAAAACTCCAACAGTTCTATAAAAAAGTAAAATTAGAAAAGGAAGACATAAAAAAAACATTATAGTCATTAAGAAAATAAATAAAATAGAACCAGATTTTGTCAAATAACAACATTTTGTCCTGTAAGATGCACCTAATGTTTTCTAAATGTAATGTACCGGCCGAGTCTGACAGTCACATTTTCTCAAAAATTCCTTAGAAACCAATATAATTAATATATAGTCTAGTTCAAAACATTTGTCAAATGTATCTGGAAAAAAAAAAGGAATTTTGGGTAACACTTTACTCTAAGTATAATGCATTATAAAGGTATTCATAATGTACGTTGTCATGCATTATATCTTTATATAAGAAATCCTTTATTATAATGCATTTTGGTTACAATTAAAGTAAAGTCTTGTAAATGTTGTAATTTTGGACGCATAACATAGCAACGGGCTGGAATATAAAAATGGTCAAATTAACATTTGTCACACTTGATGCACATGTGAAAAGCACTTTATACTGAATAATACAAAATTAAAAATCTAGATGTTTTGTGCTGGTTTTGTGGTTGTGTCTGTGGCAGGGGTCTCTGGGGTGGAGATGAGCTGCTCTGATCCGGAGGCGTCTGGAGCCGTGCAGATCGTCATCGCAGACGAGGAGCATCACCAGTTCTCTCTGGACGAGGAGGCGCTGGAGCAGATCCTGCTGCAGGAGCGCGTGAGGGATCTACATGTGGTGGTGGTGTCTGTAGCTGGAGCCTTCCGCAAGGGCAAGTCCTTCCTGCTGGACTTCATGCTCAGATACATGTACAGCCAGGTCAGAGCTTCTTCATCTTCACAGAGAAACCTGCCACGGCTGCGTTTATCTGATCAAAAATACTGTAAAAATGGTTTAATATTTTTAGAATCTAAAACAGCTGTTTTCTATGTGAATATATAGTAAAATGTAATTTATTTCTGTGATGCGCAGCTGTATTTTCAGCATCATTACTCCAGTCTTCAGTGTCACATGATCTTCAGAAATCATTCTAATATGCTGATTTGCTGCTCAAGAAACATTTCTGATTATTAGCAACAGTTGTTCTGCACAATATGTTTGTGGAAACTGATGCATTTTATTTTTCAGGATTCACAGATGAATAGAAAGATCAGAAGAACAGCATTTATTTGAAATAGAAATAATTTGTAACATTAGAAATGTCTTTACCGTCACTTTTGATCAATTTAATGCAGCCTTGATGAATAAACATTATTATTATTATTACAGAACTTTTGCAGACATAAGAAAAATAAAATATTTTCTTAATGTAATAAATTAAATTTAAATGGAATTAAATAAAAAAAAGTCAAATTTTAACACCGAGAATGTTGACTTTATTATAAATGTTGGCCTTTTGTGAATCGGCGCACAAAATCTTTGTGTGAGATTACAATATATGCATATAATTGCACATGAAATAAAGACGCTCGCACACAATGAGCTGATCTGACAGCAGTGTGGAACTGCAGCGTTCACGTTTGTCATGTGTTCTGGTTCGGATTGCCGTTCACATAATCCATCACAGCCGCTTTACTGTGAAACACTGATGTTTTGTGTTGCTCTGAAACTCTTGTTTTGCTGTTGAGAGTGCTGATGAGTTTAGACTGAACATACAGGACACATCAGTTGAGAGACCCACACAATGAAGCGAGCTGTGATGCTGTGTGTCTGTCTCAGGACTCGGACGCGTGGCTGGGTGGGAACAACGAGCCGCTGACGGGCTTCACCTGGAGGGGCGGCTGTGAGCGCGAGACCACCGGCATTCAGGCCTGGAGCCACGTGTTTGTGGTGGAGAAACCAGATGGCAGCAGGGTAAAGCTCAGCCGCATCACACCGCCTTCGGACAATATTCTCATCAGCAACTCATCAGTCGAACCTCTTTGAGCTGAAATATTGTCTTGAAGTCACAATCATTTTAAGCTAATATGTGACCCTGGAGCACAAAGCCAGTCATAAGGTTCAATTTGACGAAATTGAGATTTATGCATCATCTGAAAGCTGAATAAATAAGC